CTTACAGATTATTGTTAGAGCATTGGCCTTTAACTTTCTCAGTACATTAGAATCATCTGGAGATTTTTGAAGGAAACACTAAAGATCCAGCCCCACCCCAAACTAGCTTACTCTGTCTTTGGGGGTGGAACCCAAGCATCTGGTGTTTTGTTAGTTTTTAAGTTTCCTGGGTAATTCAGATGCACTATAGGTATTGAGAACTACTGGTCTAGAGCAAAGGACTTCACACATAACCTTTCAATAAAGCTTTCCTGAAGTATTTAGTTCTAATTACTCTCAAAGTTAAAAATAAAACAGTGGGAAGAACCTATGGGATCATGTTAACCTATTTACTCTTCTGTGGGTAATATATTTAATTTTGTAGATAATAGAGGCTTGTTGCTTTGTTTAAGTGTATATTTCTCTGCGTGTGTGTGTGCTCACTCAGTCATGTCCAACTCTTTGTGACCCTATGGACCATAACCCACCAGGTTCCTCTATCCAAGGGATTTTCTAGGCAAGATTACTGGAGTGGATTGCCATTTCCTCCTCCATGGGATCTTCCCAACCTAGGGATCGAACCCATGTCTCCTTCATTGTAGGAGGATTCTTTACCGTTGAGCCAATGGGGAAGTCCATATTTCTCTGATCTACCAGTTGTTGTTCTGGTTCCTCTTGTCATTTTCTACCATTATATTTTCTTGTAGTCAAATCCTAACTTTTTAAAAAAAATTATTTTTCACATTTGATTGGAGATACTTAGAGGTGTTTGTTTTTCATCAAGTTGAAGTTTATCAGTGTTTTCCTTCACTGTCACTCTGCATATAAATTTAAATTTCCTTTTTCTACAGGAAACTGAATACATTAATTTCTTTTGTTGCCTTTTTTGGGAGTCGGGAGAATTTGATGGGCATAAGTATTGCTAATTTTTCTTTCACTTGATTTAAAAAAAAGAGGCTTTCTCAGCTCTGTGGTCATGTGCTAAATAGTATTATGGATAGTCATGCCTAAAGAATTAGCGGAGGATTCAGATGCAAGTGAACTCAAAAAAGTCAGTGGTTAAAGGCACTAACAACCATTTGTACTGTACTCTATGTTTTCTAATGTGTTTTCACACACGTTAACCATTCTTTCAGTTAATATTTAAAAAAAAAATCTATTGCATGTCATGTACTAGGATATCAAAGATGAATTATGAGCCTTGTCCTCCAGTGGTTAAAGTCTAGAGGGATAGACAGATAAATAGGCCATTGCAGTCAGTGTATTAAAAGTTCTGAAAGAAGAAATACAGGATGCTATCGGAATATATAAAGTATTTAATTAATTGTAAGATGATGGGATTGAAGAATTCTGGTAGTGGGTTAGGGATGTTTTTCTCAGGAATTATCAGGAAATGGATCCTCTAGGATCTGTCTAGACTGATTGGGCCAGGAGTAGGGGAGGATGTTCCAAGGAGAAGCAGCATCATTATGATCTTTGAACTGGACAACTGCGTTCCCCTTTTTATTAGAAGGAATCTAAGGATTAGAGGAATTCATATCCTTGAGGTCACAAAACTTGTAATAATGGGGTAGTTATTACCAGAGTTTCTTGGCTCAAATTCTGTGTCTTTCTATATGAGAATAAATAGTTGACTGTAATTCTAACAATATCCTCCTTGAAAGACCTCGTTAGTTATCTGCTTTTCACTAATTAGAACTTATTTTAATTTTTTTTAAAGTCTCAAAACTTGTAAACTTCATTCCATTTTCATGGAAGGTAAACAGACCTCTGTGCCTCCACCATAAAAAAAAAATTCAATTTCTAAGCTTGCATGTAATAAAATATCCTTTGGAGCCAAAAAGATTATGTACATTATAAACAGGTAGGCAGTTAATTAAATAAATATTTCATGTCAAACCAAGCTATGAGATCTTGGGGTTAATTTCTAGATTTTCCTAAGTAAGGACATTTCAGTTCTGCTTAAATATTTTCAGACAGTTTCTCCCAACCCCCACACTTTTCCTTTCAGTTTTATATTGCTTCCTAAAGCAGAATTTTTTATCTGTTGGTGTTTTGCTGTAGTCCTCGAATTCTTGCAGAATTTCATAACATTTGGAAAGACATTCTGGTCCCGTAGTCCACAGGACCATGGATGGTTGTGAATGATACTCTATTCTAACAGAAATAGAGCTACTGTATATGAAAGACTTCCTATATAACAGATCATCTTTAAGCAGTTTACATAATGATTTCACTTAATTTTCATAGTGATCTAGTTGGTTATGTGTACTATTATCTTAAGTCCATTTTACAGGTAAGAAAATTGAGGAATAGAAAGATGGCCTGTCAAGTAAGTGACCTACCCAGAATGTAAAAACTTCACCTTTAAAAAAAAAACAAAAAAAACTTCACCTTTTGGTTTTTAGCCATTCACCATAGTATCTTTTGTTTTCAGTATGTGACTTATATGACTTTATAGTCGTAGTAAGATGCTGAAATTATAGAAAGAAGTCTTAATGCATGCTTTTTTTTTAAGCACCTTCCTTTGCTAGGATGAAGTCCACATTCTTTGCAGGTCTTTCTTAGTCTGGCCTTCAATATATATAGCTTCATTCTAATTCTTTTACATATTGTGTGTTCCAGCTGGTCTGGACTACCTATCCATTCTTGAAAATCATTGCAGCCAAAACTGAGTATCATCATTATAGAATGAATTTCTGGGATACAAGATTTAGTACCACATTGTCAGTTGCTAGATTATTCCAGTAATCACTATACAGTATACTGGTTTGCAGCCCTCAATAGCTGATTATTTTCAGTTGATTTTGGCAGGGGAACGCTTTTTTTCCTTCAGTTTTTCTCATTGTCTATAAAATGTTTTCCTTCATACTCTATATTCTTCACCTCTGGATGAAAAGTGATTTTTAATGGGTGTTAGACTTTTCCTGATGCATAAAATTTTGAGCTGACAAAGTTGGCGTTCTGCTTTTAATGTATTATCTAATACTAATATATAAAAACTTCAAAAAGATTAGAATTATTGTCCAACTTTGCATGCATTAATTATAAACACTTGCTAGTCTTGAAAGGGCATAATACTTTTCCTACACTTATCTAAAGTACTATGTCAATGTATTTCTCTATTCATTTTGCTTTTGTAAATTTTAAGTTATTTTTGTTCATAACATTAACAGCTTTCACAGACATTAATTGTTGCAATATTTATTCTTGTATCTAGATCTAGAGAATGCTGATCTTTATTTGAAATTGGATATTCATATATTAATCCTTATGGACCCGCCTTATACAGTTAATGGTTTAGTTAATTGTACAATTAATTAATAATTAATGGGCTATCCTGATAGCTCAGTTGGTAAAGAATCCGCCTCAATGCAGGAGACCCCAGTTCGATTCCTGGGTTGGGAACATCCTCTGGAGAAGGGATAGGCTACTCACTCCAATATTCTTAGACTTCCCTTGTGGCTCAGCTGGTAAAAAATCTGCCTGCAATGCAGGAGACCTGGGTTTGATCCCTGGGTTGAGAAGATCCACTGTAGAAGAGAAAGGCTACCCACTCCAGTATTCTGGGCTAGAGAATTCCATGGACAGTCCATGGGGTTGCAAAGAGTCGGACACGAATGAGTGATTTTTCACTTGCACTTCACTATACAATTAATGTTGTGTTGATTTGATTGATAGTAATTTATACAGTTAGGCATGATCTTTGGTCATGCACAATTTCTTAAGTAGCAGAAATGATGTTAAGGTAAGCATTCTGCAGTTTTAAGCCTAATAACTGATTTTGGTTGAGTATTGAGGCTAATGCCTCACTTTGCACATCTTTAAAATGCTACTGTTATAGAACCAAGACAATTATACTTTTATTCATATCTTCCTTAATCCTACCCCATCCAGCTATTGCCTACAGATAAAGATTTGTTCCTTTTCTATACTTCTTTCCCTAAGCAGATTATTTATAGTTCCATTCTTTCATCTCTGGCCTTCTTTCTGTTACTTCTCATTTTAACACAGCAACTTTTATGGAACGCTTAAAGTCTGAGTGCTTTCCATGGTATGGTTTTCAACTGAGTGAAATCTTTAAATCCCAACTCAGATGTCATTGCCTAAGAATTCTTCTCAACTGCTTCAACTGGGCCTTCTTACAGCTGTGTTCGCGTATCATTTTCTACTTCCTTAGTTTATAGCAATCATAACATTGTATCACAAGGAATGGTTTGAGTCTATATCCTTTGCCAAATTGTGAGCTCTTTACATCTAAAAACCACATCTTATTTATTTCTGTGTCTCTGGAGAACTTTAGACAGTGCTTCAAGTAAGTAAGTACTTACTTATGTAGTACAAGGTAGTTACATCATATGTGCATTTTAATTTATAGGAATTTTGCACTGAATGCCTAACAGAAAAGAGAAATGATTGAAATAATGTGGCAGTTTCACCTGCCATTCTACCCAGTAAGTAGATAGCTAGGTTAGGGCACAAAGTAAAAGGTATAAATCTTTTGTTCCTTCAGTCAGTTTCTGTTCCCACATGCCTCTCAAAGTGAACATCTCACCCAACTTGAATGTGGTGTGGTGGTTTCTAAGATAGTGACTTCCAACTAGACTGACCTTCTCATACTGTACACTAACTTTAGAACCTAACTCATTATAAATAAGATAGGAATGCCACTGTATAGTTTAACTGAATTAATATTCTGTCCTTAATCTGAATTCCTACAGTAATTTGACTGTGTGACTCAAATGATATTTTTACTGCTTAGTTCTTAGCTCTTTGTTCACATCTAATCTCACTTGTTGGAAAGCAAGGATCATATCTTTATTCCTCTTTGTGTTTGGCATATTAGTTTTCATATAGCATTCGTTTATAGAATAAATAGACATTTTAATGTGTTTTAATTGTGCTAAGGTCTAAGGAATAACCCAGAAGCCAAGTCCTTTAACTCAGCCATCCAGTGGTCTTTACTTGATGTCATTTGCTGAATTTTCCCTCCCAATTATCATGTCTTTTTCTCCCCATAGCTCTTCCGACGTGTTGCAGCAGCTCTACCTGGAATGGAAAGCACACAGGACAGAAGCAGAGAAGACAGTATCCTTTTTGTTTCACAAGAAAATTTTGTGGTTAACATAGGCCTTTAAAGTCCAACTTGGTTGACTTAGGAATATTATGCCATTGCCTTTTAGAGCTAAGAATTGATGGTTTAGGAGCAAAAAAGCTCTGAGTTTTTCTATAGCAAATGCAATCTGGTTATCCAAGTGCACTCTTTAAAGCCTGCTGCTCACTACAGTTAATCAGTGACAGGGTTTGTGTTTGTTTGCTTGCTTGATTTGTTTGTTTTGCCTGCTTGGTTTTTAATGAGCAGGAAACTCCTAGCATCCCACCCTGCTGCTGCTTAATTTTGACTCCTCTTGACTCTGGGCTTTTTCACCACAGTATATATCTTACTTTCTTCCCCTGTGTTTTCTAACATTTGAGCTTTCTACTTGGAATAGGCAGGAGATAACTCAGTCTGGAGCTTTATCATGGCCTCTGCTTTCAGAAATGGGGACAGAACAAAGCACATGTAAATTATTTATTTAAAAGAGTTTTTATATTTTCCTTATTTGTCACATATTTATCTTCTAGTGTTTTTCTATATGCAGACATTTTTTATTAAAAGCCATGGAATTCATAGCACTTTATATTCAGCTCTTCCCACTTCTAAATGTTATGTGTTTTCTAAGCCTTTATTAATAGTATGATGTATTCTATCAAGTTGAAGCCCAGTTGTTTATTAAATTCTGTCCCTATTGTTGGAACTCTCTTGTAGGCTGTTTTCAGATTTTTGTTACAGATAATTCCTTAAGGAACGTCGTCTTTGTGTGGTTTCTTATTCCTGTAGAATAATTACCTTAGTATAGATTCCGATGAATAGGAATTAATGTTGTTGGAACCTTGCTGCATATAGGAGATACAAGCACATTTATTTCATATGAGTACCTCATGTGGTGGACTAGCTATATAGGAAATAATGGATGAGTAGGCTCTGAAGCCAGATAGGAATGGGAGAATCGTTGGTGTCCAGTAGAATTGGAACTGTACTTCTCCATTTATGGTCCCTTAACTTTTGTTTCAGTGATTGACATAAAACTGGAAAAGCCTCAGGAGCAGCCAGTCAGTGAAGGAGGCTGTTCCTGCTAATCCCCCATGGCATCTTCAGCTTTCCTCCAGAAGCTCACTGCTTTGGCCCCCTTACTCTTTCATTGACTGCAGTGTGAATATTGGCTTGAACCTTTTCCCTTCAGTAATAACGTATTGCAATTCATCATTGCTGCCTGTATCATGGAGATGATCTATTATTAGCTTCACAAGCACAAAAAAGTCAGTGTCTTCATTATTTATATTTTACAAAAAGCCAAATGATTCCAGCATATTCCAGTGATAACTTTAAAAATTAGATACATTTTCTTAACATTGTTTTTCATTTTTAATGTTACGAGAATGTATTTCAAAATGATGGAACTCTCAACGGTATGTGGCTTGGTTACAGCACAGCTGTTCATAGGAGCACTTGCCTTTGCCGACTTACTTGATCTCTCCCTGCAGTACCCACTTCTCCTTTCCCCCATCTCCTACTCCTGCCACCCTCCCCCAAAACTAACAAGAGGAGGCAAAGCCAGACCAAGTCAGACCAAGCCCACTGAAATTACCTTGTATTTTAGTGATACCACTTGCTCTAGGCCTTGAGCCAAGATATCCAAAACTATTATTGAGCACTGATATAAATTACTTAGACCTTAATTGAGGTAAAAACTCAGCTATCATGGAAGGCAGTGCTGGAATAAGGAAAGGGTTTCTGACGTGTCTTCAGAATGAGTCCTAATGACCATACTAAGTACTTACAAGTAAATAAACATAAAATATATTTCTGACCAAAACAAATGATCCTTTCACATGTCAGACTCTGGGAGAGACAAGTAAAAGTGCTTCAGAACAAGTTTTAAATATTTAATTCTTCTAAGAGCTAATTCTCCCAAGATTTTAAAATGATCAAAATAGAGTTCTGGTTGAAAAAGAAGGCTTTTTTTAAGCAATAGATTTCTCTTGAGTTTCTTTATTTCTTCCTTTGTTTCTTTTTTAAAAAATGCTATGCAGGCAAGTCACTGGAGAAATCAAATTCCTTTAAGAAGAACCAGTGCAAGAATTTAAATTTGGCATCTTGATCAAAACTACTGTAACAAGTGGAAACAATGATACCTAACACTTACCAACTATAGAATCTTCAGCAGAATAGCAAATACTTTGCCCAGGTCATTTGAGATCAAATTGAAGATGGAAAATTTTCTTATAAGCCTTTCAAGGCAGATCTGAACAAGCATACATAGAAGAGGGAAAAGAGAGAATGAAAATAAAACTTAACATTATGCAGATTTATGCCTTATTTTTCAGCATTTTTTTTTTTTATGTTGGTTCTCTCAACTTGGTTTTGCTTTTTATTAGATCTGTATAGTTTGGTTAATTAGTGATTCAGTTTTATATTTAAGCTACAATTAATCTTTTTTCTTTGGTGATATTTATTTCTTTGCCTTTTTTAACTACTTTCAATTTTTAGATGTTTTATTCAGTCTTTAGAGCTTCATCACAATGGCAATATGTATTTCCCTTAAAACACTGCAAACAAATATACTAGGAGTGCACCATTTTAATCTTTACTAGTTATTGTGAGATTGCTGTGTAAGTTAATAAACACATTTGTAAATACATTGTTTGCAGGAAGTAAATTTCTGAGTTACAGCTCAGGAAAAGCCTGCTGAATTTATGTTGTAAGCATTACTTAACACAGTATAAGGATGAAAAGACAGCAAAAATATCTTCATACTTCCTTATCCCCCATTGCAACAAAGCCCTTAACTGGGAGAACCTTATTCCCTTCTCTTTCCTCTTCCTCCTCCACTTCCCACTTTCTGTATCACCTTATAATATTCAGAGAGCACTTGGATTATGGGTCTGAATAGAGAAATGCTTTCAGATAATCATTAGCCCACATACCCCAGTAACTTGTACTCAAAGATGGGATGGAATTGTAAAGTGCTTTTATAATACAATATTATTGTTAAAGGCAAGGGTTGACTCTTTTGTTTTATTTTGACATGGCATGTCCTGAAATAAATATCAATCCAGTATGGCAGATGGGTCGGTCATATTCTTTATTTGGAAGAAGTTGTGATTTCTGATATGGGATGATTGTCTTCCTACACTGTAGCATTTGATGTATCTTTAAGGCAGTAACCGGTTAATGCTGCATTTAATATTGGTCTTTTTATTTGGCTTGGGGTTCTTCAACAGAAGCAGTGAAGTGTGTTCATAGTGCAGATTTTCTGTTTAATAAAGTTTTGCTGCCCCAAAAAATGTATAAATAAACACAAAAGAAAACAATTATTGACTTGGTTTCCCATTCCTGCCAAAGTAATGAATTACCATGTGCTACTTACTTCCTCCCAAGGACTATAAAGGGACAAAACAGAAACCTCAGGGGAATCAGAAGACTCTTCAACTGTTAAGGGTGAGGGAAAGTGGCTGCAACTTGAAAGATAGGGTCACTGGTGCAGGCAATAATAAGATGTCTTAAGGAAAGTTCTGCTTATGCCATTTCACTCTTAACGCCACCTTTGCTTTGAGACAGGAGTGACAAACTACCCTTCCACCAAATCCAGCCTGCAACCTGTTTTTAAATTAAATTTTGTTAGACCTCAGCCATACTCACAAAGATTGGGTGGAGTAGTTGTAACGGACTTTATGGCCCCAAAAGCCAAAAATATTTATTATCTTTTACAGAAAAAAGGGCTGATCCCTGCCTTAGGGCAAACCACAACTAGCCCCATTACTATAGAAATGGAGGCCACAACCTAGATTACAGATGCAGATATCCACAGGGGTTAGGGCAGAATAGAATCGGAGAGGGAGTTCCTGGTGATCTAGTGGTTAAGTTTCTGGGCTTTCCCTGTCATGGCCCAGGTTAATCACTGATCAGGAAACAGCATCCCGCAAACATTTGCGGCATGGCAAAAAAGAGAAAAGTTCCTTGTGTAGTGAGAATGAAACTAGGTGGGTAATAATTTATCACCTTAGGCCTTTCACTCAGTATCTTTTGAAAACATCAGTTAGTGGTCTGTAATCTAGGGAGACTGCCTCCTGCAAGAGTTGCTTCTTCCTAGACTGGATTTAAAGGTTTGGTTTGGTTTGGTGGGATGAAACTGAATGGAAACAGTTACATGTGGTCTTGTGGCTCCTAGAAAGCTTTGCCGAGGTTTGTCCCTTCCTTACCCTAATACTTACTTGACATTCTGGTCTTTGGCTCTTGGCCAGTATACCTTCCCAGAGTTATAGCCCAAACCCTAGGAGAATTTGGACTCATATAGAGTAGTTGGATATCTGAAAACTGCCTCAAAAGAAAAAGTGAATACTATTTGAAGCAGAAATACTTGAAAAGACAACCAATAATTTAAATATGGCATGATAAATATTAAAGAAATAAGATAATGGTAATATGTGGAGCAAGAGTGAAAAATAACCAAAAATACAACTATTAAATGAAAAATGTAATAGCTGAAATAAATACAGGTAAGTAGTAGATTGGATTGCATTGATTGAATTAGCAAATTAAATTGAGGAACTCTTTCATTAGACAGCAAAGAAATAGAAAAGTAAAGATTAGGAATAGAATAATATACATAGCAACATTTAGAAATTCCAGGAAGATAAAAACCAAGAATTATAAAGTACTGAAAACAAAGAATTTTGAAGATAATACTTGTGTAGGCATCTGTGTATCTTCTGAAAGCAGTTTCTGAAATGGTATACCTGCCTCTAATATTCATATATTTCATTATCCTTTCCCCTAGAATATAGTCTGCACCTGGTGACTTGCATCTAAGGAATGGAATACAGCAAGGGTTGCATCATCACTTTGAAGTTTAGATTATGAAAGATTGTGCCATTTTTCTAGTCCATACAGTTTGACTCTTCATTTGCTTCTATGCAGCAATTTGAGCTGCCTCTAGAGAGGCCCAGCAATGAGTTGAGGGCAGCCTTCAGTCAATGAGGAACTGAGGTTCTTAATTAGGCAGCCTGAAACTGAACAAAAAGTAAACTACAGATTGAGAAAATATTTGTAGATTGCATGCTTGATAGAGGACCAGTATTCAAAATACATGAAGAACTCTCATAAGTTGATAGGGGAAAAAAACATGAAAAATGTTTGACATCATTAGTCATTTGAGAAATGCAAATTAAAACCACAGTGAAATACATACATATCAGAAAGGCTAAAATTAAAAAGATTGGTCATACCAGGTGTAGGTGAAGATGAGCAACTGGAATTCTCATACTCAGCTATCTGAGATTTTGGAAAAAAAATTTATATAAAGTGGCCGTTCCACACCTAAGTACTTACCCACAAGAAATGAAAGCTTGTTTCTGTGCAAAGACTTGAACACAAATGTTCATAGCAGTTTTGCTTGTATTAGGCAAGAACTAGAAATAACCCAAATGTCCATCATAAAGTGGCTATGTGAACAAATCATGACACATACTATGGACTCATATACAATAAAGCAGAAGGAACTGTTGATACCTGCAACAAAGATGAATCTCTGAAAATTACCCTTAGAAAAAATTATTCAAAAAGGGTGTATTCATTTATATAAAATTATAGTAAATGCAAACTATTCTAAACAATCCATTTCTCCCTTTCCTCATTCCCTAGTAACCTCTGTTCTGCTCTCTGTGTATTTTCCTATTCTAGGTACCATATATAAGTGGAATCACAGCATTTGTCCTTTTGTGTCTGGCTTCCTTCACTTAGCATGATGTTTTCAGTGTTCGTTCATGTTGTAATGTGTATCAGGTTTGCTTCCTTTTTGTGGCTGACTAATATCCCATTGTATGTACATACAGTATTGTGTTTACACATTCATCCACTACTGATGGACACTTGTGTTGTTTCTATCTTTTGGCTATTTTAAATAATGCTGCTGTGAATGTTAGTGTACCAGTCTCTGAGTCTCTATTTTCACTTAGTATATAACCTAGGAATGGAATTGCTGGATAATGTGATAATTCTATATTTAACTTTTTGAAGAAATGCTAAACTGCTTTTCACAACATTAGCACAGTTTTTTATTCTCAAGCAGTGCACGAGG